GAATCCAAGTCCCGGGCGAAGCCGAGTGGTAAAGCTAGTATATGAAATATATGGAATAATATAAATGGACTGTATATATGTTTGTGCTTAGGTATGCATAGCACTGAGTAGGCTATGAGGCATTCATCCAAGCTCATTCATTCAAGCTCTCGCAAGCCAAGTCCTTAATTTAAAATAAATATTGAAAATCATTACACAAAAAAATATTTACCAAAATATCACAGCCACAACACTGAGCTCACGTTATGACAGTGCCAGCGTGCGTGTCAGCAGGGAAGGGGAGGGGAGGGGGGGTGATTAAACATTAGTTTCCTTTGGGTTCGATCGTGTAGGGGGTATAAAATATCAATTAATACTTTTTTTTTGCATACGCCTCGCACCACCCGCGGGGCAAGTAAAAATAAATAGATGTTTTACTTTCAGCAACTCCAGACGCAACTCCAGAGAAGGAGAAAGAGAGGAATTTCGATTTAAAGCTTTCGTGACTGCAGGGATTCATCTTCTTGATTCTTTCGGTAAAGTCACGTAGAATGGAAATAATAAAATAATAAAAATTAAAAATAATTTTATTTTTATTATTTTATTATTTCCATTCTACGTAATAAAATAATAAAAATAAAATATTTGATAAGATTTAATTTTTATTATTTTATTATTTCCATTCTACGTGACTTTACCGAAAGAACCAAGAACAAAGAGAGGAATGTTCAAGATTTCAGCTCTCACACGTGAAGACATTCTGATGCTGGATGTCATCTCCAGCGAAACGTCGGGGGGGGGGAGGGGGGGTGGAGGAGGGAGTCAAACCAGGCCCCACGCTTTCTCCAAAACGTATTCACAGCCACGCGAGATGATATTTTTCCGAAAATTGTATTTGACACGGGCGTCAGCGACGGACAAAGGCATAAATATCTCACGCGAGATCCCATCGTGAAGACGACTCAGATTCGCTGACCGCGCGTGCATCGTCAGATCGCGTTGCAAGCGGCGAGCGACACGATCGCGCTGATGAGCGCCAGTGACGGCGGAACCTCGTGCATCAGAGCACGGCCGCTGCTCTCCGCTGCCCGCCATTCGCCGATCGTCTAATCAGCCTCAACGTTGACTCGTTGGTTCTTTCGGTAAAATCACGTGGGTAGAAAATTAATAGATCACTACGGTTCGATCGCATCAGGTGAGACAAAGACAGCGAGAGAACCGCTGAGGTTTGTCTGCTCACCTGATGACGGTTGCTTGTGTTGCGATCGAAACGTCGTGATCTATTTAATTTTCTACCCTACGCGACTTTACCGAAAGAACCAAAGAGCATGGCTTCCTGGCAGTCACGAGAGCTTCAAACCAAGCTCGACGTTTCTATGACGGGGACCTCAGACAGAACGAGTGGGGCCAGTGCGCAGTTCTTCAGATTCGATGCCGATGGGTTTCGGATCGGTCTGTGCGCGGAGACTGCGTGTGAGTGTGCGTGGTGCGTGACGCGTGCGTCCGACACGCGGGGAGCGGCGGTGTCGCGGTTCGCGCACCGCACCATCAACCTGGCGGCCCGGGGTTCGATTCCCGCTCACGGACCACACCCGGTGACGATTATCTCCACTGGTCCTGGGCCTCCCCTAGGTAGACTCAAGTCTCAAACGAGTACCTGGCGCGGTGCGTAAAGATCGCCACTAGGGAGACAAAGGCGGCCGGGCGTGGTTGCTGGCCACCCACCGCCCCTCGCGTACCGTGCCGGCCTTCATAGGTGCTCGTTGACAGCACTTGCCCCAACAGTCTGTGTCAGGCTATAGGGGGGATCTTTGTCTTGGTAGTCCCACGCGCATCGCTTGTTGAGTATGAGACGCAGCCATCGCTGTGACGTCGAAAGGCAAGGGACACGGCAGGCGACAAGCAGAGCCGTAAACTCGGGTTACGGCGAATCGGGGAGACTGCCCCGGACCCCGCGCTTTGGGGGGTGGTCCTGGGGGGGGGGGTGACGGGTGGTCCCGGGGAGAGAAGGGGGGTGGTCCCACGCTTTGGCGTCACGGAGTCAGATGTTAAATATCCCCCCATTAGTTTGAAGGCGTTTGGGGGCCCCCCACGGTTTGTGAGTTGCCCTGGGCTCCTGCACCCCCCCCCCCACACTTACTATGGACGGGCCTGGCAATACGAATGTCACGTGACAACGAGTTCGCTTTAGGGATCTCGGAAACATCGGTCAGCAAGAACGTGGCGACGAGAGACAGGACTGGGAGACTCAGTGGAATATTTGCAACAAGGAGACAGAGCAATGTGTACAGATGTGTACGTGTGTATGTGTACAGATATGTACGTGTGTATGTGTATAGATATGTACGTGTGTATGTGTACATAAGGGGAGCGGTGGTGTAGCGGTTAGCGCGCCGTGCAACGAACCCGGCCACCCGAGTTCGATTCCCGCTCACGGCCAACGCCGGCGACGATCATTTGAATCGCTCGTGGGCCTCTCCCCCCTCGGTCGACTCAGCCTCAAACGAGTACCTGGTGCGATGTGTGAATATCGCCACTAGGGAGACAAAGGTGTCCGGGAGTGGTGCTAGCCACCCACCCCTTCGTGTGCCGTTCCAGCCTTCATAGGTGCTAATAGCACTTGCTCATATAGTCTATTAAGGCTGTACGGGGGATCTTTGTCTTGTATATATATGTGCGTGTACTGTATGTACTGCGTGTATTCTGTCCGTAAGACACACACACTGAGACTAGCCTGCTATGTTATCCTATCCGATTATAATTATAAGTTGACGCCCTATGTGATTTAACCGTCCTAACCCCGCGGTCACGATATAAAAAATAGCCTTGGCCAAAAATATAATCGATTCACGGATCGATTATCGGGCGCGACGCGTGACAATTAATCTAATCGCTAGCGGGCGAATCGATATCACGCCATAAAATGGCACACGACGTCGCTTTACAAATGCTAAGTAATAACAATAATACAACGTAGACCATTAACGATATCACAACAGAGATAACGGCGTTAATAACAAACAAAATATAATAGTAACAACAATATTCATAATCAGTATTATTTTCTATTATTAATAATTAGCGTCGACGCCGCGCGCGTGCACGTGACAAAGCACGCGGTTTGTTGTAGACGTCACAGACCCCCCCTCCTATCGCAGGGACGAATCAGCGCGCGCCGCGTGACGTCACCCTCCAGCTGGCGTGACGTGGTCCTTTAATGATCCGTCCTTAATTATCTGAGCGGAGGATGCAGTTACGCGTGACGCTGCTGCTACTGCTGATGCTGACGATGCTGTTGCTGCTGATGAGACTGTAAGAACAGACAGTGAAGGTCCCGTCTGGTGTCGACTGTTCGACGACTCTTGAGACCTGGCAGAAGGAAGGAAGCGATGGCGAGGTGCGTTGATGGTGTTAGATCGATCCACGCGACCCTTGCTGAATAGTTCACCCACGTGGAAGGTTGGGGGGGGGGTGAAGGGGGAGAGGGTGGGCTCGCATCCTCCTGCCCTCTCCACCAACTCTCCATCACCGAGTCCATCACCCGTCGTCAACCTCCCATCATCGCACGTCGGCTAAAGCGAGCGGGGAGTACTCTTTAGTGTCACGCACGTCCACGTGGCGGCGCTATTGGTCCGTGAGCTTGAGCGGCCGCGATCCATCGGCGCGCGTGCTGCTGATGATGCTGCTGATGATGCTGCTGCTGATGCTGCTGATGATGCTGCTGATGATGCTGCTGATGCTGCTGATGCTGATGATGCTGCTGATGCTGCTGCTGATGTTGATGATGCTGATGCTGATGCTGTTGATGCTGCTGATGATGCTGCTGCTGCTGATGCTGCTGATGATGCTGATGATGCTGCTGCTGATGCTGCTGATGATACTGCTGCTGATGATGCTGCTGATGATGCTGCTGATGCTGATGATGCTGCTGATGCTGCTGCTGATGCTGATGATGCTGCTGCTGATGCTGTTGATGCTGCTGATGATGCTGTTGCTGATGCTGCTGATGATGCTGATGATGCTGCTGATGCTGCTGATGATGCTGCTGATGCTGCTGCTGCTGAGTCATCCATCATCACCACGAGTCGTTAATGAGGGTGACGACCACCCAGCGTGGAGCGATCCTCATCAAGACGTCCTCGAGAGAATCATCATCATCAGTTGTAAGAGCCCCCACCCCCCCAGCCCCGCACCCACCCCCCGGGTGGGTGATGAGTAAGCGACTTAATTCGCTGCACGTGTTTATCCCTTGCGGGGGGTCCTGGCGTCTGCCGCTACCCAAAGCCCCCACCCTTGTGGTGGTGGGGGGGGGCTCGGGTCCCAATGAGCGGATCTTGTAGGCGCGGTCTGAGCGGAAGATCTCCCCTTGCCTCTCCCATTGCCTCTCTCTCCTCTCCCCTCTTCTTTAATCACTCTTCTCTACCCACTCCACGCCCTTTCCCTCTTCATCCTCTCCCCTCTCATCCCCACCCATCCCCTCTCATCCCCACCCATCCCCTCCCCTCTCTCGTCATCCCGTCGACTACCCGCCCCGCTTCCTTTCCCTCTCTCACACCTCCCTCCTGAGTGTCCCTCTCGCCGCATCGTTCCACTGACACGCCTCGCCACTGCACAAGCTGATGCTGCTGATGCTGCTGATGCTGATGTTTGTCTCGTGAGTTGGGCCCTCTAACACGGGGCCAACACGAGCATCAGATCCGAAGAGATGCAGCGACGCCTCCGGTGTCCGCGTGGCCTCGCCACGTGCCCCCCACCACCACCCCCAAGGGCCCCCCTTTACTACCCGTGCCCCCTATTGCTCACCCCCCCCACCTTCACCCACCTGCTGGCTGTCTCGCGTCTCCCCCTGAGAGGTGCCGATGTGAAGCGCTGTCACAGATAGCGAGAGATGTTTGGGAAAGTCCGGGGGTTTGACCCCCCCCCCCAACACTTCGTATCCCCTCCTCCCCCCCGCCACTCCTCTTCTCTGACCCCCAAGAATATGGACTCCCCCCTTCGCCCCCCCCCCCACCCATCTCCCTCTGTGTTGTCGCCGGGGCGTCGGAGGCCCGGCTATCTGCAGGCGCACGACTCGACGGACATGTTGGGGTAGAGTTTGAGGACCACGCTGTCCGCCTGGTCCACGTAGAGGATGCTGAGCGGCGTCATCTTGTCCGGCACGCAGCACGGCCCCGGCAGCCCAGGCACGAGTCCCACTGCACGCATCACGCTCTGGATAGTCGCGTGGTTCGTGGGACGCACGCCCTACGGAGGGGTGGGGTGGGGGGGGGTGTGGGGAGCGGTGGTGCAGTGGTTAGGACGCTGAGTGGGGGGCTATCTTGTCCGGCACCAGCCCCACGACACGAACCACGATCCGGATGGTCGCGTGGTTCGTGGGACGCACGCCCTACGGAAGGGGGGGAGGGTGAGTGGGGGGAGCGGTGGTGCAGTGGTTAGGACGCTGAGTGGGGGGTTATCTTGTCCGGAACCAGCCCCACGACACGAACCACGGTCCGGATGTTCGCGTGGTTGGTGAGACGCACGGTACGTGGAGGGGTGTGGGGTGGGTGAGTTGGGGGAGCGGTGGCGCAGTGGTTGACGCACCGCGCTACCGTAGCCAACCGGGCGACCCGAGTTCGATTCGCGCTCACGGCCACACGAAACACGCGTACACATTATTTCGATTATTTATTTTGCCGCTGTGGATTTCCACATTGACGATGAGACACTCCCCGTCGAGCTATCATTTGTGGCCAGGTCGCTTCTGAAAAAGAAGCTAATGGCTCAGTGGATCTTACCTAGTACGATTTAAAAAATAGATTAGTTTTACTTGTGTATATTTTTTAAGTGATTTGTTTATCTTACCTGTAATTTGTACTCGTATCTTGTTTTTGTGTTACATTCTGACAGCGTGCCCCTTCTGGATAGCTGTAAAAAAAACAGCTTCATAGCTCATCGGATACCTCCGGTATATATATAAATATTTAGATTCACTAACACCGGTGACGCTTTATCCGAACCTGTCCTGCTGGGCCTTCCCCCTAGGTCGACTCAGACTCAAATGACTACCTGGTGCAATGCGTAAACAGTGGCACAGGGGGAGACAAAGGCGGCCAGGCGTGGTGTTGGCCACTCACACCCTTTAATTTTGAACGTCCAGTCGATAATTGACCATTGCCGATGGCGACGATGATGATGATGATCATCATTTTAGACTGACGCGTGCTTGAGAATCGATGCGAGTTTTAATTCCGATTCCATCTCACGGATTATTCCCAAGGGTGGCACAGTCGGTTTTTTTACAATCGGGTTTAATTGTCTTTTTATATTAAACCCGATCATCTGAGATTGGGAGAAATCCGGATTAACTGGTTCTAATTGCAGAACCGCACTTCGCCAACTTCTCAACGATGGGCTTCATCCATTCCAAGCTAAGGAACTCACTGGCGCCCACGATTGTGGAGGAGAAGCTCCTCGTGTTCATCAAGACCAACCTGCCCGCCGCATTCTACGACTACCCCGTGCCCGATGGCCCCCTCGAGTACGATAACAGCACCGACGAGGAAGCAGCCTAAGCCTTGGATCAGAGTTTCGTATTCATTAAACCAGGTTGTAATTCCCCGAAATCGGGTTTCATTGTATTAAAGAAAAAACCCGATGCCTGCCGCTGGAATAATCGGGTTTTTAAATCCTTTATATTAAGTTCGCTTGCTTGCTTGCTTGCGTGCTTGCGTGCTTGCTTGCTTGCTTACGACCGTGCAAATCTTTCGGTCGTTTTTTAACCCACTTCCCGTGATCCAATCGAGCTGACATTTTGCACACAGACTCGTTGTGCGAGACAATGAATGTTCGTGAAAAATGTTTTCCAAAATGTTACACTGTTTAGGGAAAACAAATTAAATATTTAATTACCAATTGCTTAATACTGGCAGACAATCATCTGACCCATAGGTGGCAGCCATCTCAGGCCAGAGGACGAGAGGACTCTAGCCGCCACGCATATAAAGGATTTATAGTGAAAAACTTTGCTTTTATGGGTTATACTTATTTCCACCCATGAGTATTCCCGTCACCTCTACAGCCACTAGAGGCGCTACCATCACAGCCCGATGCACAGGGGGGTGCTTCAAAACAATGTTAACACTCACGAGAATTTACAGCAACACCACAAGAAAATGTGTCGCCTCTGGGCTCTGGAGACCACCTGGAGAAGATTCCAGGCGCGCGTTGACAATGATGGCGAACAATTGGAGACTCTTTGAAGCTATTAATGTAAATTTGTTATCATGCTGCAGTGTATTCTCCGTTCTTTTAACCATTAAAAACGAGAGTCCCGTGTGAGTGTTAACATTTTATTGAAGCATCCTTTATTAAAACAAATTTTTGATTTAAAGCTTTCGTGACTGCAGGGATTCATATTCTTGGTTCTTTCGGTAAAGTCACGTAGAAGGGAAACAATAAAATAATACAAATATAAAACAATTCTATTTTATTATTTCCCTTCTACGTGACTTTACCGAAAGAACCAAGAATATAAAACAAAATTGTTGGTGACATGTGCGATCAGGCGGTGTTCTGGCCAGCACAACGCCTTTGTCTCAGCAGTGCTGATGTTTACACACCAATGCACCAGGTACTCATTTCAGGCTGAGTCGACCTAGGTGATACCCGGTACTGGTTAAGAAATGTGTAACGCTGAAATAAAGACGAAGGTTCCCCGTATAGCCTAAAGAGACGGTCACGGGCAAGTGCTGTTGGCGAGCACCTATGAAGGCCGTGACGGCACACGAGGGGGAGGGGGTGGCCAGCACCACGCGCGGCCGCTAACATAAAATAAAGATCCCCCGTACAGCCTTAACAGACTGTAGGGGCAAGTGCTGTTAGCGAGCACTTATGAAGGCCGGAACGGTACACGAGGGGTGGGTGGCCAGCACCACGCCCGACCGCCTTTGTCTCCCTAGCAGTGATGTTTACACACCGCACCAGGTACTCATTTGAGGCTGAGTCGACCTAGGGGAGGCCCAGGACCGGTATCAGAAAATCGTCACTGGTGTTTGCCGTGATCGGGAATCGAACCCGGGTCGCCAGGTTCGTAGTGCAGCGCGCTAACCACTACACTACCGCTCCCCGCGCGCTAACCACTACACATAAACATACACACATAAACATACACAACAAAAACTGCCATTCGCCACTAAGTCGCGGTGTCGTCACCACGACGCTTGTGCCAGGCTATGTGCACGTTGAGGCCACGTGAAGTGTCGAACGCCCGCTGGCAGGAGGTAACGGGGCATATCCAGGTGCCACGGGTCGACTGACTGAGATGACCGAGATGACTGGCTGATGCACCACCTGTGCCCCCTACTGTGCCAACTTGCTGTACTTTAGCCACCCGGCGCTCCGCTCGTTGTTGTGAGCGTCGCTCCTCTGCCCTCTGTTGTTGTTGGAGGGCGACTGCCTCCAACTGGCCAGTAGCGTCCTTCACGAGCCTCCTCCACAGAGGCCGATCTTGCCACCGCTGGTACCAGTCCACTCAGCTCCACATCCTCCTGTACCACATCACTCCATCTCTTCTCTAGCCCGTGCCGCGCTCGTTTAGCCCCCTCGATCCTGCCGAACAAAAGCTGTTTGGGCATGCGGTGGCTGGGTATGCGGGCTACATGACCCAGCCAATGCAGCCTTGCCTGCCGGAGGAGCTCACCGATGGGACTTTGTTCACATCTTTCAAAGATTTGTGAGCTCCTTAAACAATCCAGCCTGGTGAAAACCAGGATGGATCGTAGGCAGGCCAGCCTAAATGTTTCTAACCGGCGAAGATGTTCCATTAGGGGTGTCCACGTTTCGCAAGCGTAGAGAAGGAAGGGAATGACCGTGGCCGAGAAGACCTGAAGCTTCGTGCGGAGCGACAGACCAGGTAGCTTCCACACAGCGTTATGCAACCGATGAAAAGATGCCGCTCAACTGATTCGGAGTGAGACCTCTGCTGTCAACCCGGAGCCGGTCATGAGCACACTGCTCAGGTATGGGAAACTCTCCACTCTCTCCACAACTGCCCCATCACCAATTGGGAGTTGTGGGGGTGGAGTGTCCGATGGTAAAAATACCCAGGCAGGTGCTTAGTTTTGATGGTAAGGCCCCACTTCTTAGTGGCAAGCTCCAGGTTCTGCAGCAGCGCCTCCAACTCTTCCTCTGAGTGAGCAGCAATTACCATATCATCGGCATACATAACGTGGTTGAGCAATAGGGAGCCATCCCTTGACCGCACCGGGCATCGATCAGCCTCCCATTGTGTCTGTACCAGATGGAAATTACCAGATGGAAATAACAGCCATCGAAGGCTTCACGAACTACGTGGTCGAAATAGATGTTAAATAAATAAACTAAACATACATACACACACATACACACATATACATACACATAATACATACATACACACATAAACATACACACAGACACATACACACAGAAACATACACACACAATAGATACGCATAATACATACACAATGCATACATACACGCATAAACATACACACATGATACATACATACACACAAAAACATCTGCACATAATACAGGCACACATAATACATACACAATACACACATACTACATACACACATAAAGCATACACACATCATACATACACACAATACAGGCACAATGCTAACGGTGACACAAAAAAAATGCAGCCGCCGTTCGCCACTAAGCTATGGTGACGTTACCACAGCGCGTGTGCCAGGCTAGGTGCACTTTGATACCATCACGTGAATTATGGAAGGCCCTCTCTGCTGGCGGGTTACAACACACAGACCCAGGTGCCATGGGTTGACTTACTGAGATGACTGGCAGATGCGCTACCTATTCTCCCCACTATACCAACTTGCTGCGTTTTAAACGCCCAGCGCTCCGCTCGTTGTTGTGAGCGTCGCTCTTCCATCCACCCTTTGTTGTTGCCGAAAGCGACTGCCTCCAACTGCCTAGGAGCGTCCTTGACGAGTCTTCTCTGCAGAGGCCGATTTTGACATCGCTGGTCAAGTCATCGGCAAGTCCACTCAGCTCCACATCCTCCGCTCTATGCGGCCAAACAGAAGCTGCGTGGGCATGCGGTGGCTGGGCATGCAGGCTACGTGACCCAGCCAATGCGGCCTCGTCTGCCGGAGGAGCTCAGTGATAGAACTGTGTTCAGATCTTTCAAGGATTTGTGAGCTGCTCACATAATGTAGTGGTGTTAAACCCGAGTGGTTATGTTTACACACCGCACCAGGTACTCATTTGAGGCTGAGTCGACCTAGGGGAGTCCCAGGAACGGTTCAGATAATCGTCACTGGGTGTTGGCCGTGAGCGGGAATCGAACCCGGGCGCCAGGTTCGTATCGCAGCGCGCTAACCGCTACACCACCGCTCCCCACGACATATCCACACAATGACGCACACATTGACAGACACGTGTGTTACTGTCCCAATGAACTTCACTCGCTGATTCCTCCACACCGTGTTGAGGACTTGGTCCGCTCGACATTCACCGTTTCGTCTCATCCACACTCTGTGCAACCACCAGCGCACTGGAGGTCACGACAACTCACTCAACCACTCACTCAGCCACTCAGCCATTCACTCAACCACTCACTCAGCCACTCAGCCACTCAGCCACTCACTCAACCGCTCACTCACCCACTCACTCAGCCACTCACTCAGCCACTCACTCAGCCACTCACTCACTCAGCCACTCACTCAACCACTCACTCAGCCACTCACTCAACCACTCACTCAACCACTCACTCAGCCACTCACTCACCCACTCACCAATCCACTCACTCACTAAGCTGCAGGTCACTTCACTTCACTTCTCTCTCTCTGCCTTTTCCCGTCACTTTGCCGCACATTGGAACTCCCTCTCCCATCACCGCCGCCTCTTGTTCCCAAGTTCTTAAAATAACAACAACAACACTAATAACCTCGCTCAATTCAAGAGACGCGTTACAGTGCTGTTTGTGGCTGGCCCCCTTGGCATTTTGGGCTTCTTGTTCTGCACTCAGTAACCGTGTCGTGTTTTTAATTAACTCCCAAGACCACCACGATACGATGTCTGAATTTGAATGATGATGGTGATGATGATTTTGTGATGATGTTAAGATGATGCTCTTTGGATTACGATGATGGTTTATAGATGATGATTGTTTTATTTTTTATAATGGACTGTTAAAATCAAAACGACGATTTATAAATCAGGATGATTCTTATTCTTAGTTCTTTCGGTAAAGTCACGTAGAAGGGAAGTAATAAAATAATAAAAATAAAACAATGAAATTCGCACGACGTTTCGATTGCAACACAAGCAATCATCATCAGGTGTGAAAACCACACCAAATTTTTTTTTTAACTGGCGTTTTTTTTTCTTGCTGTGGTTTTCACACCTGATGATGATTGCTTGTGCTGCAATCGAAACGTCGTGAGAATGTAATAGTTTTATTTTTATTATTTTATAATTTCCCTTCTACGTGACTTTACCGATAGAACCAAGAATTCTGAATCCCTGCAATCACGAAAACTTTAAATCGAAATTCAGGATGATTCTGTCTCTACGATGGTGATCTTGAAATAAGGACGATGACATATTATTGTTAACGAAGGACTTAGGCCGATGGATTATTAATGAGGATGGTGGACCATTGATTATGATGATGACGATGGATTATTATCGATAATTTCGTGACGATGATGCTACTGCAACGGCAGTGATGCACTTGCACAGTTAACAGAAACAAAACTCAACTTATCCAGGAATCACACTGTGTGTGGTCCTTTATATGTCACGATGTTATCGGGCCAACTGATTCAATGCTCTGCCCGTGAGAGGCAAACGGAGGACTCTGAGAATATCCACGGGGTCCAGACGGGACAGGTTGGAGTCGGCAATTGACGCTTTGCTGTACCGCCGTCTCCTGGCGAGTCGGGGTACGGCTCCATCTCGACGCCAAATCCACGCGTTACATTGTGACCGCCGCTCCATATTTCTCACGTGATAAGCCACTTCGTGGAGCTCTCGTTTGCGGTGGGCAGGTCGCTTTTTGAAAATAACTCTATAGCTCAGTTGGCCGTTCCTGGTTAAAAAAAAAGGGGGAAATAATAAAATAATAAAAATTAAACATAATAAAATAATTATTGTGAGAATTATTTTATTATGTTTAATTTTTATTATTTTCTTGTGAGAATTATTTTATTATGTTTTATTTTTATTATTTTATTATTTCACTTCTACGTGACTTTACCGATAAAACCAAGAAGATGAATCCCTGCAGTCACGAAAGCTTTAAATCGAAAAATAATAGGTGAATTTAGTTTAGTTTAGGTGAGTTTTGCATGGGGCCGTCCATGGGGGGGGGGTGTTGGGGGGCCCAGGACAACTCACAGACCATGTGGAGCCTCCGATGCCTTCAAACGTGCACGGGGCCGTCACACCCTCTCCGCCGTAGCCTGGCTCCGCAACATCAGTGCGGTGGTCCACCAACCCCCCCCCCCTCGCTGCTACCTCCGCAGCGTTTGAATCACGCGTGGTTGGCCACGTCACGTGTAGAGTCGCTGCGGTCACGTGCTGCGCAAAGCAACGCGTCTGCTGCGGCGTTAGCTATAATTGTGCATTACCTTTTTATTTGTCCAGGTAAGGCCTACTGAGCTATGTATATACATAGTTCTTTTTCAGAAGCGACCTGGTCACAAATGATAAAGTGGATTATCACGTGGAAATGTATAGCAGCCGGACGACCCGGAGAAAAAACTCCAAATATACAGCAGCAGGCGTCAGGGTCGGGATCGAACCCACGACCTCCTGCATACCAGGCGAGGTAGTTGACATCTCCTAGCCACCGTGATGATGATGATGATGAGAGAAAAACACCGCAAACTCCAAATATACAGCAGCAGGCGTCAGGGTCAAGATCGAACCCACGACCTCCTGTACACCAGGCGAGGTAGTTAACATCTCCTAGCCACCGTGATGATGATGACGATGACGAGAGAGAGAACCCGCAAACTCCAAATGCACAGCAGCAGGCGTCAGGGTCGGGATCGAACCCACGACCCCCTGCATACCAGGCGAGGTAGCTAACATCTCCTAGTCACCGCTGCCTCGATGCCTCCTCCCGTACCTTGGACATGGGGAAGTCGCAGGTGCCGGCGCAGTAGTGCGCGAGGTACGCCTTGGGGGAGATGATCCACTTGTCCCAGCCGATGTCGGCAAAGTCCACCGTGAGGTGGCGTCGTGCGCACGCCGTGAGGGGGGGAGGGCCCCCCCCCACCGCGTGACCCCCGCCCGGGGGACGCCGCTTGTCCGCTCTGCGCCTCCGTTCCGCCTCGGTCTTCCCACGACCCCGGCCGCCGCCGCCGCCGCCGCTGTGGCTGCTGCTGTTACTTCGACTGCTGCTGTTGGCTCCTCCGTGATCCCTCTGCCTCTGCGCGTCTCTGGGTCGAGATCTGCGCTGGGATGACGATGATGCTGCTGCTGATGAAGATGGTGAATATGATGCTGATGATGATGATGCTGATGCTGATGATGATCTTCTTTCCTGTGCCATCTCTTCATCGTCATCACCATCACTGCCATCGTCCTCATCATCACCATGACCATCATCACCGTCCTCGAAGGAAGGGGGGGGAGCCAGGAGACGCGACCCGGGCAGTTCATTTGTCCGCAGCGACGCGTCGCGCCTCTGCCGCACCGCTCCTCCAACGTCCCCCTCGGACTCAACCTCGACCCCGGCTCCCCTGTCCGACCCGCCCTGCTCATCGTCCCCATCGGCGAGGGGGTCCGGTCCCCGCGACCCGGCAGACCCCCCGCGCGCCTGGTGCAGAGCCCGCAGCTGCAGGACGCTCGCGACGCCGCCGTCCCCTGCCAGGGCCGAGTCGAACGCGAAGACGAGGAGGTAAGGGACCTCGTCGGCACGCCTGGGACCCGTGCGGATGTCCGCGTGGAGCCAGGGCATCCCTCGGGAGCGCGCCTCGCCCAGCGGCGCCGTGACGTCGCGCGCGTGCCAGTGCGCGTAGCTCGAGGGGATGAACGAGAATGACGCACGGCGAGGGGAGCCCGCGCCGGGGTCGCCGCGGGGGTGCGCCGATCCCCACAGGGACACGGAGACGCGCTGGGGCCCACGTCCCTGACGACTCGGCGCGCCCGGGGGGAAGTGGAGAGACGCGGCGATGAGAGACTCGGACGCGGGGATGAGGGAGAGGTTAAAGGAGAAGTGGGGTCCTGGCGGCGAGTCTCCTGGGGGAGGGGAGCGGGGGGGGGGGGGGGGTGAGAGAGGGAGAGACGCGGGTTACGGGGGGCTGCGGGGGTCACGGGGAGATGAGGTCATCATGGGGGGGGTGGGTGAGAGAGGGAGACGTGGGTCACGGGGAGATGAGGTCATCATGGGGGGGGTGAGAGAGGGAGACACGGGTTACGGGGGGCCACGGGGGTCATGGGGGGATGAGGTCATAATTGGGGGGGTTAGAGAGGGAGACGCGGGTCACGGGGGGCCACGGGGGTCATGGGGGGATGAGGTCATAATTGGGGGGGGTTAGAGAGGGAGACGCGGGTCACGGGGGGATGAGGTCCTATACTCGGATGTTTGGCCAACTCCAAGAATGATACGAGTCTGGGTCAAGCGAGGGGATAGGAGGGGTCTAGAGTGTGAAAGGGGTCGCAAACGGGTCGCGCTTGACCTCCCTGTGTCGGGGTGACCCCCCCCCCCCCCACCCAGTGCCCCCATCACGCCGCGCCACGCGATCCCCAAACTGCACGCCAGGGGACGCCACGTGACCGCGGTGGCGAAGAGAGGAGGCGAGGCGCTTGATTTTGTTTGTTTAGAAATACACGGTTGTCGGGCACGCAGGCAGGTAGGACTCGAATCGCCAAGCGGTCAGCAACAAACGGCACTGTTCAAGTTGTCAATGCGCTCGAGCGAGCGCATTGACAACTTGTTGTTTTAAGAACTTTGGAGAAGAGACGATGGTGGCAGAGCGAAGCAGCAGGATGAGGAGTGACGTGAGCGGGTGGATGGATGGGTGAGTGAGTGGGTGAGTAAGTGGGTGAGTGAGTGAGTGGGTGAGTGAGTGGGTGAGTGAGTGGGTGAGTAGGTGAGTGAGTAGGTGAGTGAGTGGGTGATTGTTTTGCGAGTGACTGGGCGAGTGAGCGGGTTAGTGAGTGAGTGGGTGAGTGAGTGATTGATTGGCGAGTGAGTGGGTGAGTGAGTGGGTGAGTGGGTGAGTGGGTGAGTGAGTGGGTGAGTGGGCGAGTGGGTGAGTGAGTGGGTGAGTGAGTGGGTGATTGTTTGGCGAGTGAGTGGGTGTGTGAGCGGGTGAGTGAGTGGGTGAGTGAGTGGGTGAGTGAGTGGGTGAGTGGGTGAGTGAGTGAGTGGGTGAGTGAGTGAGTGGGTGATTGTTTGGTGAGTGAGTGGGCGAGTGAGTGGATGAGTGAGTGGGTGAGTGAGTGGGTGAGTGAGTGAGTGAGTGGGTGATTGATTGGCGAGTGAGTGGGTGAGTGAATGCAGACGGACTGACGAACCCAATTGCCGGACTGCACTACGCCTTAATATCAGCGTATAAAGCGCACACCGCACATCATCATCTCGATCTCGTAGAGAACGAGAGAGAGAGAGGACGACTTAGAGGCGCCAGGAGGAGGAGGAGGGGGAACCACAGAATCAGAATATTAATTTATTCTGGAAGAATCCGATGAGCTATGAAGCAATTTCTGTTCACAGTTGTCCAGACGAGGAGCAGGAAGGCAGTAGCCACGCTGTGAGGAGCCGGCACTACCAACACTTGTCCAATCTCTGCGGTCCTATGTATACGAAGACGTTATCGGCTAACTAATGAGTAATCTTCGTTTTTTCGGTAAAGTCACGTAGGTAAAAAAAATGTAATTAAAATTTATAAAATAAAATAATTTTTATTTCATTTTTTTTACCTACGTGACTTTACCGAAAAAACTAAGGATATGAATCCTTGCAGTCACGAAAGCTTCAAATCTAGAATTAACTAATGAGCGTCTGTGGGATGAAACCAGCGCGCGCGGAGATGCCCCGGGCGTGCGAGGGGGCAACACTCTATCCCATACCGACGGAGCAGGTGGATTTGCACATTTGTCTGCTGGCGTGCTGGGGTAATCGCTCCACCTCGACGCCCATGGAAAGACAGTTTCGCCAACATACACTATGAGACCTCCTTTACCAGTGGCAAAATATAGTAGTAGGTTTTTACCCTTTAAACTGGTACAAAACTGACACCTTTATACAAGGCATCATGTTTGCAATAACCACAACACAAGCAGTCAAAATGCAAACAAAAAGAAAGGCTAGGCTCTAAGGAAAGCCTAGGCTCTAAGGAAAGCTGTCTCGGGTGTGGACCAATCAACTTCAAGGACAGTGCATATCATTATCATTATCAGAGTTGTTTCTTTTTGTTTGCATTTTGACTGCTTGTGTTGTGGTTATTACAAACATGATGCCTTGTATAAACGTGTCAGTTTTGTACCAGTTTAAAGGGTAAAAACCTACTACTATATTTCGCCAACATCTTTGTGCGTTCCACCAACCCCTCGCTGCTGCTGCTGATGCTGCCGCTGCCTCCTGCAGCGCTGCATCACAGGCAGCCAGGTGCAGCATCGCCACCACCAGTGCCCGGATGAGATCTGCCCGAATCCACTTTCCGAACTGCACGTGCGCTTCCGTGCAACACACGGAATGGGATCGAACTCAGAGTCGCGCTTTCAAACTCCACCGTGCGGCTCGATTGAAGGGGGGGGGGATTGGGGGAGGGGGTGGGGGGCGCTCCTCTCCCCCCCAAGGCCCCCACCCTGCCAGGTGCGCGCTCTACCCAGGTGTAGGAGCCCTGCGGGAAGGCGCGCCACGCGGAGCCACGCGGGGAGCCCGGGGCGAGAGGTGTCCCAGCGTCCCAACCCGCCCGGGCGACTCGGCTGGGCACGGGCAGTACAGTCTAGATATGTGAGGTCTATAGCGATACAGTCTAGAGATGTGAAGTCTATAGCGATACAGTCTAGAGATGTGAGGTCTATAGCAGTACAGTCTAGAGATGTGAGGTCTACAGCAGTACAGTCTAGAGATGTGAAGTCTATAGCGATACAGTCTAGAGATGTGAAGTCTATAGCGATACAGTCTAGAGATGTGAGGTCTACAGCAGTACAGTCTAGAGATACAGCAGTACAGTCTATAGCGATACAGTCTAGAGATGTGAGGTCTACAGCAGTACAGTCTAGAGATGCACGGTCCATAGCAGTACAGTCTAGAGATGAGCGGTCTATAGCGATACAGTCTAGATATGTGAAGTCTATAGCAGTACAGTCTAGAGATGTGAGGCCTATAGCAGTGCAGTCTAGAGATGAGCAGTCTATAGCAGTACAGTCTAGATATATGAGGTCTATAGCCATACAGTCTAGAGATGTGAGGTCTGTAGCAATGACGTCGAAAGCAATTTCGTCTCGGGAAATCCGGTCCAGCCAACTCTAGCGCTGTCTAGTCCAGAGGATTACAGTGTGGAGAAATGCGTCATTCCCAGTCTCATCGACTAACCCAGCCCTTGCACGACCGGGTCTAGACGAGTCTGGATGACACCTTGCCAGCCCTATTGGCCAGATGCATTGCGACTCGGCGCGCCTGTGCGGCTGCGGCGTGGCAGGTGAGTACAGCAAGCGGGATCGTGAACCCGTGTGTGCTGCCCGTAGCTATGTGAGTGTGACCCCCCCCTCCCCCCACACACACACACTCGTGTAAAGCAGTGAGCCGCTGTGGTTTTATGTTAAACTCAAATAAACTTCTACGGCTTCCTCCCACGCGGAGTCAGACGCTCATCCATCACTCATGGAGATATTCACGTGAATTCATTGACTCTATTTGGTTACACGCAAATGCGGGGCACAGGCCGAAACGTCCAAAAAAAAAACGTCAAGCGGCCAGCAACACCCAGCACTATCAGCTAAGTCGCAATAGGCAAGAGTTTAACGCGTTCTTTTATTTATTGAGCGAGGTTATAACGGAATCGGTCAAACATCTCGAGGGATCAAGACCCTCCTGCACATGTGCCTCGAGACTCGGTGAGGATTTATGCGAATTCGTGGCATACGGGGTTGGGGGGGGGGTCAAAAGGGGGGGGGGCGGGGGGACGCTGCACCCCCCCCCTCCTCAAAACCTTCCCACCTTCGGCGCGCGTGTTAGGTGGCGATTGTAGATAATGCTGCTGCTGATGATGATGAAGATGTTATTTGTAACTCATGATGATTGATGTGGTCATCATGATCATCATCACCATCACATCCGCGCAGGACGGTGGTGATGTGAGGACAGGACAGGGAGGGCACGTCACGTGGTGAGTGAGGGGTGGGGGTCACGTGGTGAGCGAGGGGGTGAGGGTCACGTGGTGAGTGATTGAGTAAGTGGGGGTCACGTGGTGAGTGAGTGAGTGGGGGTCACGTGGTGAGCGAGGGGGTGGGGGTCACGTGGTGAGTGAGTGGGTGTCACGTGGTGAGTGAGTGAGTGGGGGTCACGTGGTGAGTGAGTGGGGGTCACGTGGTGAGTGAGTGGGTGTCACGTGGTGAGCGAGAGGATGAGGGTCACGTGGTGAGTGAGTGAGTGGGGGTCACGTCTCGCCTGGGCTCAGTGCCGCGATGCTCCGCACGCTGTTGCCGCGGATTCGCGCTCCTCCCTCGCGGCGGCACCGCTCGTAGAGGGCGCGCATGCGGGCAGCCAGCTCGCCGCCCTCATGCTGATGGTGGTGCTGATGATGGTGCTGATGGTGCTGCTGCTGATGCTGATGGTGCTGATGACGATGATGGTGCTGCTGCTGCTGGTGGTGGTGGTCGGTTGCCACCCCAGTGAAGAGCAGCAGCAGCAGCATCAGCCGCGGCCTCCGCTCGCTGCTCATGTTGGCACAGAGTCCCCTACAGAGTCCCCTACAGGCACCCCGGTGGGAGGCCCCTCCTGGGACGGGGAGACCCCGCGGGGGTCGGCGCGGCCATCCCCCCTCTTCCCTGACCCCCCCTCTCTGATCCCCCCTCTCCCTGATCCCCCCTCTCTGATCCCCCCTCTCCCTGATCCCCCCTCTTACCCGATCCCCTCTTCCCTAATCCCCCCTCTCCCGGATCCCCTCTCCCTGATCTCCTCTCCCTGATCCCCTTTCCCTGATCCCCCTTCTCTCTGATCCCCTCTCCCTGATCCCCCCTCCTTGATCCCCTTTTCCTGATTCCTTCTCCCTGATCCCACCTCCCTGATCCCCTCTCGTCGGCTTGGCTCTATGCCCCCCCCCCACTCCTTTCCCCCCTCGCTAATCCCCACTTTGTGCTCCTCAATCACATCTCCTCCTCTCTCGCCCCCCCCCCCCCTTACTCCTCGCCCCCACCACTCTCCTCTCTCGCCCTACTCCTTGATCCCGCCGATCCACTCCCTCGCCCGCTCCTCACTGCCGACGTTGCCTTTGGGAGCAGAGTCCTGGGTGGAGTTTCCCCAGGTTCGGAATTCCCGGGTTCGAGTCCCGGGTTCTAAGTGCTGGCTTCTGGGGAAAGTCATCGACGAGAGAGAGAAAGAGAGAGATTCCCGGCTGGAGGTCCCGGGGTTTGGAGATGCGACTGCGCCTTGCAAGCTCCCTCCCGGCGCGCCTCACACGAACTCCTCGGCTCAGAGACCCGCACGCTCCACGCCTCCCGTCCCTCTTCCTCGACGCTCCGCGGGGAACCCGTCGAGGGGGATCGAACCGGGGTCCCTGTGACAACGGGAGCCCTCGTGAGCGGTGACGTCTTCAGTCACTCGGGTGTCAGTCGAGCGGAGCGATTAACCGGCGACTCCACGTGTCTTCCTCGCGACCCCACGTGTCTCCTTGTCTCTCCGTGTCGTCTCCGGCGTCTTCCCGTATCTCCTCGTGGCTTGTTTGGCGACCTCCACAGTTGTCCTCGCGTCCCCGTACTCCTCCCGAATGTGTCCAGGTGCCTCCGGTGTCTTCACGATGCTGCCTCCTTGCGTCTTCGCCGTCGCCTTTGTCTCCGTGTCTCCCCGTGTCTCCCCGTGTCTCCCCGTGTCTTCCCAACGTCGCCTCGTGGTGTCTCTGTGTGTCTCCGCGTCTCCTGTCCGCACTCCGCTCCACTTTGCGCGCTCGACTCTGCAGTGGGGCGGTTATAAGGTGGAGGGGGGTGGAGGGGGTGGAGGAGGAGGGGGGTTAGGGGAGGTTACACACACAATGACAAAGATCCCCCCTGTAGGCTTGACAGACACGTGGGGCAAGTGCTGTTAGCGAGCACCCTTGAAGGCTCGCACGGTGCGCAAGGTGGCCAGCACTACGCCCGACCACCTTTGTCTCCCCAGTGGCGATGTTAACACACCGCACCAGGTACTCATAAGAGGCTGAGTCGACCTAGGGGAGGTGCAGGAGCGGTGCAGATAATGGTCACTGGGTGTTGGCCGTGGGCAGTAATCGACCTCGAGTCGCCGGGTTCGTAGCGCGGCGCGCTAACCGCTGCACCACCGCTCCCCAGCACCGCAAACACACGCGCACACCTCCCCATGTACACATACAGACGCTTCAGTCACGTGCTGTTTCAACAAGCACCAATTAAGGCCGGAACGACCACGCGATGGGCCGTGCGGTCAGCTACCACGCCCGGCCGCCTTTGTCTCCCCACTCTTCATCTCCCCCCCCTTCCACCTTTCACTTACGCACCGTTACCAGGCATTCATTTGATGCCGAATCGTTCTAGGGGAAGAGTCCCGCTGCTGCACAGACGATCGCGTAAATCCCATGAGATTCAATGATGCACCGCGAGTCGGTGTGATCAGAGAGACGACAGCCACCAAACAACGAGCGGTTAAGCGGCGAGGTCGGATATGCGACGTCGTTCCGCGGGGGGGGGGGGGGGGGGTGACGGGGTGCAGGTGGAGGCGTCACGTGGCTCGCGGACTCGGACTCGCACCTGAGCGGTTGGGGCGAGGGGGGAGGGGCGCGCAGGGAGAGGGGGGGGACGCGAGTGGAGCCACCTGAACGCCGACCCAGCGGCGATGCCCTGGTGGCGGGAGAGTGGGTCGGAGTGATTGAGTGAAAGTGTGTGAGTGTGTGTGAGTGTGTGTGTGAGTGAGTATGTGTGAGTGTGTGTGAGAGTGAGTGTGTGTGAGTGAGTGTGTGAGTGTGTGTGAGTGTGTGTGTGTGAGTGTGTGAGTGTGTGAGTGTGTGTGTGAGTGTGTGTGAGTGAGTGAGTGTGTGAGTGTGTGAGTGTGTGTGAGTGTGAGTGAGTGTGTGTGAGTGTGTGTGAGTGAGTGTGTGAGTGTGTGTGAGTGTGAGTGTATGAGAGTGTGTGAGTGTGTGTGAGTGTGTAAGTGAGTGTATGAGAGTGTGTGAGTGTGTGTGAGTGTGTAAGTGAGTGTGTGAGTGAGTGTGTGTAAGTGTGTGTAAGTGTGTGAGTGAGTGTGTGAGTGTGTGTGAGTGAGAGTGTGTGAGAGTGTGTGTGGGTATGTGAGTGAGTGTGTGAGTTAGTGTGAGTTAGTGTGTGTGAGAGTGTGTGTGAGAATGTGAGTGAGTGAGTGTAAGTGTGTGTGTGAGTGTGTGTGTGAGTGAGTGAGTGTGTGAGTGAGTGAGTGAGTGTGTGAGTGAGTGTGTGAGTGAGTGTGTGAGTGAGTGTGTGAGTGAGTATGTGAGTGAGTGTGTGTGTGAGTGTGTGAGTGAGTGTGTGTGAGAGTGTGTAAGTGTGTGTGAGTGTGTGTGTGAGTGTGTGAGTGAGTGTGTGTGAGTGTGTGTAAGTGTGTGTGAGTGAGTGAGTGTGTGTGAGTGAGTGAGTGTGTTTGAGTGAGTGTGTGTAAGTGTGTGTGAGTGAGTGTGTGAGTGTGTGTGAGTGAGTGTGTGTGAGTGTGTGTGAGTGAGTGAGTGTGTTTGAGTGTGTGTGTGTAAGTGTGTGTGAGTGAGTGTGTGAGTGAGTGTGTGTGAGTGAGTGAGTGTGTGTGAGAGTGTGTGTGGGTATGTGAGTGAGAATGTGAGTGAGTGTAAGTGTGTGTGAGTGTGTGAGTGAGTGTGTGTGTGTATGTGAGTGAGTGTGTGAGTGAGTGTGTGTGAGTGTGTGTGTGAGTATGTGAGTGAGTGTGTGAGTGTGTGAGTGAGTATGTGAGTGAGTGTGTGAGTGTGTGAGTGTGTGTGAGTGTGTGAGTGAGTGTGTGTGATGACTGGTATGGGGAGCCTCCCCTAGGTCGACTCAGTCTCAAATGAGTACCTGGTGCGGTATGTAAACATCGCCACTGAGGAGACAAAGGCGGCCGGGCGTGGTGCTGGCCACCCACCCCCTCGTGTGCCGTGCGGGCCTTCATTGGTGCTCGCTAACAGCACTTGCTCCTACAATCTGTTAAGGCTACACCGGGAACCTTTGCCTGTGCTAGCGTAGGGGGTCTGTGTGAGTGAGCTGTCAACTCTCCGTGCGCGGGCCTCTCTCCACAGTTGACGTTGGCACAACAGTGACCGCTTGTGCGACCTCTGAAAGAGAAACAACATCGCGAGGTGGGGAATATTGGGGGGGGGGCGGAGCGGGGGGGGGGGGTGGAAGTGGGGGCTGGAGGGAAGGTGGGGAGCGACGCCGCTGCTCAGGAAGCCGAGACCGCATCCTCGTCCCCGGCAAAACACGACCCGGGCCTGATGCCCGCTCGGGACCGTTCCATGATGGCCTGTTTTTTGTTTTTACAAATCACCCTTCTGCGCAAACACGCGACTCCAGCTTCCCCCCGCGCTCGGTTCCGATATTTTTTCACGCGCCTCCCCCCACGGGACGACGCGCCGAGCTGCGGTACAGCTGGCGAGTGCGCAGGCGGTTGAACTGCACTGCCCCCCCCCCCTCCAACCGGCGCCCACCGCATTTAATTCCTTGCACCAGGGCCCCATACCAACTTCGCTCGTGCCACCACCGGCACCCCCAACATCGCCATCCCCCCTCCACCTTGCCAGGCAACGCGCAGAGATTTGCGGGGCTCCAATGGGGGTTGACACCAGGTCTGTCCTCCACAGATGTCATAGTATCTGTCCGTCTGCTACAGCAACGGCGTAGGGAATTCCAACAGGACCTCACACCAGGTCTGTCCTCCATAGATGTCATCTTCTCTGTCCGTTTGCTACAGCAACGGCGTAGGGAATTCCAACAGGACCTCACACCAGGTCTGTCCTTCACAGATGTCATCTTCTCTGTCCGTCTGCTACAGCAACGGCCTAGGGAATTCCAACAGGATCTCACACCAGGTCTGTCCTCCATAGATGTCATCTTCTCTGTCCGTTTGCTACAGCAACGGCGTAGGGAATTCCAACAGGACCTCAAACCAGGTCTGTCCTTCACAGATGTCATATTCTCTGTCCGTCTGCTACAGCAACGGCGTAGGGAATTCCAACAGGACCTACAGCTCTGCTTTATTGACTTGGTCATGGGCGATGATACCATCAATAGGCCAGGACTCTTGGTTATTTTTCGGGCTTTCGGGGTCCCTGACCCTCTTTCTCATGATCATTAAGGGCCTTCGTGATGGTGGGCATGCTCGGGTGAAGCTGTAGGGCAGGGAGTCAGAGCCAGTCCCTGTTCACCTTGGGGTGCAACATGGATGTCATCTGGCCACTACATTATTGAACATATTTTTTGAGTGTTTTGTTCCAAAGACTTTCCATTTATGTACCCGTGAAATTTCCATCTGGTACAGATACAATGGGAGGCTGATCGATGCTCGGGTGCGGTCAAGAGATAGCCAATAAGTAGATAGCTCCTTATTGACCAACCATGCTACGTATGCAGATGATTTGGTAATTGCTGCCCACAGAGAATATGCTACTGCTGAACTTCGAGTGTGCCACAAAGAGATGGGGCCTTACCATCAGCCCCACGAAAACAAAGTACCTGCCTGGGTATTTTATGTGATCGAATGCTCCCCTCGATCCACTGCTCATGAGTGATGGGGCCGGTTGTGGAGAGAGTGGAGAAGTTTCCGTACCTTGGCAGTGTGCTTATGACCAGCTCTGGTTTGGCAGCAGAGGTCTCACTCTGAATCAGTCGAGCGGCATTATA